TACTGTAGCCGAAGTAACAGAAAAGAGAAGAAGAAGAAGAAGAAGAAGAAGAAGAGATGCTGGAATGTCGAACTGCACTGCTCAGTCGACAGTACTATTATTTGTATTATGGTGTAATACAATGATACAGGAAGTTACTAGAATGCCCCTGATTAGTGATGGGACACCAGACAACTTAAAACATTAAACAGATTAGGCCCAGTACAGGACAACTTAAACTTAAGTATAGGCTAATAAGAACTCTTATCATCCGAATACTCATACATACAAAGATTTCAATCCAACAGAAGTGATCATCTTGGAAGTTCTGCCTTGGCCAAAATCAGGAAATTTGTGGAATTTTATCTATTTTTTAAGCACAAAGAAAATAGTGCTATCTAGAGAGCAAAGACCCACAATATCGCTCAGTCCCAATCCCACCCTTCAAAAGACTATTGGTAATCAAATTAGAAAAACCAAAGATCCATCAAGGAATGATCAAAACCATCTCTGCTCCAACCAATAACACCTTTGAAGGTCACCTTGCACATCTACCTGCTAAAACCTTAGAGAAATGCATCCACCCGAAGCCACAAAGCAAGGCCAGTATCCCAGCTGATATAAACTAGTGAACTGATGAAGAGGTGTTTGCAGGGCTGGAAATGAATCCAATTAAGGTTGAGGGATGGATTAAACATACCAGAAAGATGCAGTTAAGGTTAGAAGGCAGTGTTCCATGTTTATGGAAACAGAAATCAGAATCCGATACATATCTTGGAGTCCATTTATAGCACAAGTAAGATTAAGTGATCTATTACAAGTTGAAAGGGCTAGAAGAACTAGGGAAAGACCAAAAAGGTTAAGCAAACTTTGGCATGACTTCAACACATGAAAAGAACATTGACTGAAAATTCTTAAGTTCACCAATTAAAAAAAAAAAAACAAACTCAAGTTTACCAAAATCTTCCCAACCAAAAAAAAATCTCTTTTGCTGTTCAAAAATTAAATAAATAAATATCTTTTAGAGTAATTAACGCAAACATGTTTGGTTCAATTCTCATTCTTACCCAAGATAGAAATTCTAAAATGGAAAAAAATGGGTAAAAATTGGCAGAAAGAGAAAATATTGCTATGGACCAAACACTTTTTTCCTAAAAAAAATGTATTTTTTTCAAACCAACAAGTGATCTATGTTGCTTAGTTTCATTCTTCAAACCCCCCCCCCAAAAAAAAACAATATGTGCAAGCCTAGGTCTCCTAAACCATCGGCATAGATGTTTACCAGATAGGCAGAGATCAATGTCCATTGGCATAAGTTTCCACAGCAATCCGTCAGTAAATATTTATGGCGGTCATTTTGTAGACCTGGGCCAGTGGTTTATGAGGACTGGCATAGAGTTTCCTTAAAGAATGAAAATGAACAAGATGGGGCATGATTATTTTTTATGTTGCAGGCTATCTTGACTTTTGTACTATGGGCTGATTTTTCATTCTGAAAAGAATGAGGCCCATGGCAAGAATTTTGTAACCAAACGCTCTAATGTTATACATTCTTGCCCATTTTTGCCTAGAATGAGCAAGAATTAAAAGAATGAGGCCCAGAGTAGTGAACCAAACATGGCCTAAATGTGTCAATGACTTTTGATAAAGATATTGGAAACAGTAGTCATCACCATGAACATTGTAATTAAGGTCAAAATAATTTGTGCATGGGGAACAGAAGGGATAAGGAGAAAAGACATGGAGTTGAATTCTCTTTGTATTTTGTTATTGGGGAGCTAAGATATTTTATCTCCCCTCTTGTATCCTTATTCCCTCTTTTCTCTCAATTTAATGAAGCTGGTGTTATTGATAAAAAAAAAAAAAGACATGGAGTTGAAACCTGCAGCTTTTCAATGCAAGAAGACCCATATAGATTAATGAAAAGCGAGCACACAGATATAACACATTCATGGAAAGCTCTGACAGATATGGGAAAACATAGCAAAAAGTTTACCGTTTCGCCTGGCTCAAGAAGATTAGCAATACGCCTCTTGATCGCTCCGATGTCTTTAGATGAAAGGTCATGTATATCCTCTTCATTCTTTGCTGTCTCAAGATTCTTTTCAGCAAATCTTGTATCAATTTCAGCACTATCCAGCCATGCATCCTGCACAAATAGATGATAATATGACAAACAGAATACAAGATAAAGTTGCAAGGTTTGATGGCAAGGACCCAATGAAGAGAAAAAAACTTCACTTGGTTACTTGAGAGTTGAGACTCGATTTGTGAGGCTAAGGAGGCTGGTGGTATGGGGATTAGGAAGTCACAGGTGATGAAATAATGCTCCCTTATGCCAGTGGCTTTGGAGGTTTCCGGAGGAAAGTGATTGACTTTGTCGGCAAGTCATTGACAGTAAATATGGCAGCTCTTCTGAGGGTTGGGTCACCCATCCACCTAATCAGTCCTATGGCACAAGCATTTGGAAGGGCATTATGGCCCAACTTCCTTCCTTTCAGAAGTCTACAAAGTTCAGACCTGGGGAGGGGAATAGGGTGTTGATTTGGAAGGATGTGTTGTGTCTAGATCAGCCACTAGCCATTGTTTTTTCCCTCCCTTTTTGCTATTGCTTCAAATAAAGAAACAGTAGTTAGGGAGTGATTGGAGTTTTTTAATGGCCAGGCCAATTGGATTCCAAGGTTCAAAAGAAACTTGAATGATTGGGAGGTTGATCTTCTTCAGGTTCTGCCGAGTAGGCTGCAGGAGTATCAAATCAATCCCAACTCTAGAGATGCCAAAATGTGGGCATGTGAAAAGAACGGATTATTTCCTACAAGTTCCTGCTACAAGGCAGTGTCAGGCTCATCTGTTAACGTGGGCTGGGCTTGGATTTGGAGGCACGAGTCCCATTCAAGATCATTTTCTTCATGTGGCTGGTGGCTAAGGAAAGGGTTCAAACGATGGATGTCTTGCTGAACCAAGGGATGAATCTGGTTGGTCTGTGCAGTTTGTGTGGCTCTGCACCAGAGTTTGCCCACCATCTATTTCTGCACTGCCCATTTACCAACCAGGTCTGGTCTCATTTCTTTAGGCTCTTCATATCAACTGGGTCCTCCCCAGCTTGGTTGTTGGGTTGCTTTCTTCTTGGGGGACCATTCCATACTTAGCCCAACAATAAATTTCCTTTTGAAGTGTCTTCCATTTGCTCTGTGCTGGGTAGTTTGGAAAGAGAGGAATTGCAGAACCATCGAGTCCAAGTCAGAGCCGCTAAAGGCAGTTGTTGGTAAAATTCAAAGGTTATTATTGATGAGCCGGGTAGCCTGTTCGAATCTTTTTTGTGGGTGTTGTAGTCAATTCTTTTTTGGTTCATTGACTGCCCATTATCATCTGTGCATATTGAAAGTGGCACTACTTTTTGTATATGTGATTGAGGGTTCTTCGCCCTCCCCTTCTTTTTTTGAATGATAATACATATACTCTTTTGCCTTTCAAAAGAAAAGAACAAAAAAAAAAAAGATAAAGTTGTAAGGTTCAATTGGTGATTGGGAAAATTGGAAGAGTGGTGTATCCATGGGATTCCATTTTAAAGGAATTTAATGGGGGCCAATTTTCTGATATTTATAGCAGGTAGGGTTCTACTGTATTGTCTCATGTAGCTAGTGGTCTTCCAGGCTGGGCCAGGTCCCTGTCTTGTATGAGGTTCTTCTGACTCTTGTTTTTTCTTTCAAAAAAAAAAAAGAATGATTTACTTATAAAAAAAAAGGACACAGGTGCTACTCCATGATTGAAATATTACTAATGATCCAGATAAGGTACCTTAATTTCATTCTCCCTGAAATATTCAACGAAATTTCCCTGTGCATCAAAATAACCTTCTTCTCTCTCTTGCTCCAAATTAAAAGGTTCTATCTGAATCCCATCATCAACTAATTCAGCATTATCCTGCCAAAAGTAATCCCTTATTATCGGCTATCCCCTGCCCAATTATTGATGAAACTGACAATTATCTTGACTGAAAAATGCTGCCAATTCAAGGAAAAAAAAAAGAAAATGATCTTAAATCAGCAGGGCACAAAAGTAGAGAATGCAGTAAGTGTTTATCCCAAAACCTATAATCAGAATTCCCTGGGGAACAGTAAAATAGAAAAGAATAAATACATGTAACAGATGTACAAGACATGGACCAAAAAACAAATTGTGTTCAAGAAAAACCAATTAAAGAATGGATAAGAACATAAGTCAATGTTAGATAAGCCACACTAAAAGTACACATAAAATCAGAAATAAGAAATAGTTTAATAAGTATAAGTGGGTGTCATGGCCAGAAGCTTCAGTACAGGATCCTGGTTAAGATATCAGAAACTTGAAAACCTATGGCAGCAACTGGGAATTGAATATCCAAGGTAATGAAATATGGATCAAATGATCTCAGCAACATGCAACCTTAATGAAAACACAATAGAAGCAATTTAGTTATTCTGCTATTACAAATACTGCTCCTGATTTTACAATTATTACAATTACTTGCAATTTAATTATTTTTTAATCAATAACCAGAAATTTCATTAAATAGAAAGAAGGTACATTAAGGAGAGGTAAGCTCTCTTAACTCTCCAGAAGAATAGAAAAAAAAAAAAAAAAAAAAACAAAAGATTACAACTGAGCCCAAAATAAAGATGCCCTGTTCACCCCTTGTTTTGGCTAACCCATCAGCAAAAGAGTTAATGCTTCTTTTAATCCATCACACTCTAACTTCAATGCCCTGCATCAGCCATTTAATTTTTTTTTTATTACTGTAAACCCATAGGTCGTGCCCATTATATTTTTCCTTCAATCAGCCCACCGCCAATTTGGAATCCCCTACAATTATCAATTTGTTAATGTTCATATCCTTGGCTCTGAACACCTTCCAAGGCTACTAGGATCTCAGCCCTAAGAGAGTCACGAACTCCAAGTGGACCAGAGAAAATGGCAACTAAATTCCCTTCCCCATTCCTTATCACTCCTCCAATACCCAAAGGACCTGGATTCCCAACACTGCTGCCATCAAAATTTAGCTTAATTAGGGGGAGAAATCCAATGCCTCCTTAACCAGGRATGAAAAACAATTTAATTATTCTGCTAGTAGAAGCCCTTTTTTTTTGATAAATTGCTAGTAGAAGCCCTTCATAGCATTAGCTTCTTAAAAGTGAAGAATTATTTTGCATACAAAGAGAATCCCAGATGCAGGGACTTCCAAGAAAGCGCTCCCAAGAAAACACCCCATCCAATTCAAATAGCTATCAAAACTAGTCTAAAATCAAAGAACCATCATGCAGTGGATAAAAAAGAGGATTAACAAGACATTCCAAGCAATCAAATAGTTTTCTTCTAAAACTGCTATTCTGATACATTGAGCTTATTGGAGAAGCCAACTGAGCGCATTGTCGTCAAAAGTACAAATAAACAGATACTCCTTGTCTCGGGCCTTTCTTGCCTCAAACAACTGATAATGGTGATTAAAGCAAGGTTTTAGCTGAACCTGATAAGAATGGAGAAATGAGTGGAAAGAATAGATCCAGTTTCTCCATCCAAGGTTAAAACCACTCTGTTCCATTTCATAATAAAACCATTTTGTTCCAGTTCATACTCCACTAATCCCAACCAACGATCTCTTTACGCTATTTGGCAAACCACCTCTTATTAACAGAATTTCTAGTATCATATTCCTTCATACTTTCAATAGCTGTCAGAATATAACTCTCCTGAACAAGTGAATACTCCGACGAATTTATAGGCCTACCGCATACGATTTGTAGGACCAATATCAATGGATATTCAGAGATACCGCACCGGAACTGTATTTGCATCCTCGTGGCAATTCAAATTAACCAGCCCACAACTTGCCAAGAACGAGAAGAAAGCCCTAATATCGGGGGAAAACATGTGGAAAAAAAGAAAAGCAAACCTCGTAAGTCACTTCTGCACTTGATACGTCGTGAAAAATCCCATGAGTTTCTTCCCTGAAAAGCTCAGCAGTCATTTGATTCCGTCGCTTCGCCCGCTCCTTCGCAGCAAGCCGAGGGTCCGCCAACTCACTTAGACCATCTTCGTCCACGCTCACACTTGGTCTTTCATCTCCAGTCTTCACCTTTTTACCCTTCGGGAACCTCACTCTCTTTTGCCTAAAAAATGCATTATTGCAGGTTAAGCAAGCTCCAAACAAATTAAAATTATACATGATATCAATAAGGTGATGTAAAGAAATGAAGTTGAAATTCGAAATTAATGGTAAATACTTGAAACATAACTGATGCCATTAGAAACATGAGCCCGAAATTGATAGGAATTCAAGGGAGCAATAAATAAACAAATAGAAAACGTGTACTGGAATGGCTTAAACACTAAACCATGAAGTAGTAGATTAAAGTTCCTGAATATTTGATCTGTGGATGGAGGCAAAGAAGATGAGGTTAGGGTTTCGAGAGAAGAGGACGAGGAATACGCTGGAGGTTTGTTAGGCTCGTCATCGTCTGAACGCGGACGCTTCATGTTAGACTGCGTGACCGCCCTCTCTGTCGCAGCAAATTCGGCTTTCTTTCTCACCAAAATCGTCACTCAGGCAACTCGCATTCCCTCGCGACACAACAACTTTCTTTCAATTCGAGTGAGATACAACCACGGTAAGCTCTAAAAAGGGAATTCGAATTGCGCCCCACAGAACATCCCAACCGTCTATTGGGAGGCATCTCCCCTGGGGGTGTGCACACGCACAAACGCCCCGTGCATCGACTACGCTCTGTGATTAGACCTGTTCATGGGCCGGGTGGCCCGACGGGCCGGCCCGGCCCCGGACGGGCTTGAACACGCAAATGGGCCTGTGGGCTTAACCTCGGGCCAAAAAGCCCGGCCCGCAATAAATTCGAGCCGGGCTCGGGATTTGTCGAAATAGCCTGGCCCGAGCCCGGCCCGCCCTAATCTATAATTAAAGCTAAAAACCCTAGTCGAATACCCCTCTTTCTTTCACCTCTTTTCCCAACCGAACCTTTCTTCTCCACATCCTCCATAGTTCTCAGTCCTCATACTCTCAGGCTGCCACACAACCAGTGAAGCGGCAAATGTTCACCGGCGCAACAACTCCGACGGTGAGTCCTCTCCCTCTCTCTCTCTCTCTCTTGCTCAGACGCGAACTGATCACTGTTAAAATCACAGGTCGCAGCTCACAGTCACTGTGAACTCAGCTTCGGCGAACACAATCATCGGCGGTGAATCCTCGGGCTTCGGTACCAAGTTGTAGGCCCGTTGATCAGGCCGGGCTCAGGCTCGAGCCTAACAAATTTCCATTAATGAAGAGTAAAAGCCCGGCCCGGCCCATGAACAGGTATATTTGTGATCGGATCTTTAGTCTTAGTAGTGGAGACCTGGGTCCAAATCCCTTGCCACCAGGATTTGGGGTTATGTTTAGGCAACAAACGGATCGAATCGCATATGTTGCCAAATCACATTGAAACCGGATTGCAACAAGATAATAAGGGCCCATTTGGTTTGCAGGAACAAGGGTTCAAGACTAGAAGGGTAATTCCGATTCTAAGGCCCCTTTCACTTTTTAATAAGTTACTTGTCCAAGTAAATGCATTTACCTTGATAGGCTTTTCATAGAAAATACTTACCCAAGTAAGTGCATTTACCCATATTCTTCTATTTCTCATGTAAATAAGGCGATAACCATTTTAGCCATAAAAATTTATTATTAAAATTGATACTTTTGTCCCATTCAAGTGTTGACAATTTCCCCCCCTATGTGGGAAAGTTATTTACCCACCTAGGAGATGGGTATCACTTACCCAGGTAAATGATACTTGGGAAAATAAACTTTTCTTGGTCCCCACATAAATCTGAAAAAAAAGAAAATGGAATTTTTGGTCCCCAAGGAAAATTAGGAAAAAAAAAAAACATCCCCAAAATGTTTAGTTGGGCGGAATCAAAATCTTGTTTCCATTCCACTCATTCCTGGTGGAATGGCATTCTCTCCCCTTCCCTTAGAAATTAAATCACATTTCAATTCCTGTTTGAACCAAACAGACTGTAGGAATAAATCATTTAGATTATGATTCCAATTCCAACTAAGAATCAAGTGGAACCTAAATTGTACAATATAAATAAATTAGGGGTAAATTATAGATAAAAACCAAGTTCAGATTTGCACCCCACGAGGGGGCACCCGACAACGTCCCACAGCACACTCCCGCCATGTATTGGGGAACATATCTCAATGATAGTACTAGACTCAATGATGTCATCATCGGGAAATGTTCCCAATACATGATGGGGATGTACTGTGGGACGTTGTGGGGTGCAAATGTGAACTCATAAAAACCAATACTTTGGGTACTTTGGGGATGGTAACATTTAAGGGCCGAGACAACTAAGGTGGCATTCGATGGCATTGAATCAACCTTCCAACACCAAATTTTATGCTTTTCGGATCTTCAAAATTGTTCAATAGCACCTCTAAACCATCCGAGCTCTGCAAATTCCTTAGAATTATTAGCAGTTTTGACACGTTCAAATGTAGCAAACGACATTTTGTTCCCCAAAATACCTGTTTATAATTTTTGAAAAACCATTTAAGCCTTATTAAGCTTATATTCTTCTTTCCTACTGTCTCTCCCTCTCTCCTCTATGTTTTTTCATTATACTGTCAGCAAACCAAAATCATTGCCACCGCTAATTCAAATTTCAATCACTCTCACCTATTTCTCTCTCTCTAATATCTTTCTCTCTTATTCTTTTCCCGCAATGCTTCCGCATTTATCTACAAATACAACGAGCTTGGACCACGAGCATTGGACCAACACTCAATGCAACTCAGAGGACGAGCTTCTATCATGACAATGAACATCTATGATCTAACCAATAAATAGAGCCCACTTTAACAAAACAAGGACCAAAGGCAAACCATCATTAGCAGCAGCTGATCCCTTGAAAACATATTAATTGTAGCTCTAAGGAAGATAATCCATCATAGATGTTTTACATTATTGATTAACTTTTATTAATAATTTTTATTGCTTATTGATGAGGGCAGATTTGGCCCTCCAGTGAAATTGTGACACGTGGCACCTTGTGACAATTAGGCAAGCACCCAGGCAACAACTTACCAAGTTGGTGTCCCCCCGGGCACCGGTCTGGCTGGCCTGGTGCGACCTGCACGCGGCCTGGTGCGGCCCGCGTGGCCTGTGCGCGA